TTTAGGTCCAGTCCCAAATCTACACCAAATTTTTTTTGTCTCAGAAAAAACCTCAAATTTTAAGTCCAGTCTCAAATCTGCCCCAAATTTTATTTTGTATAAAAAAATCACCAAAATTCAATTTATTTTAAAAAACATACCCCCATGATCCAGTTCCAACTTGACGTGGCACTTCTACGTCAATAACAAATCCACATCAACAAAGTAATGGGGTTTCTTTTTAGACAAAGAAAAGTTCGGGGCAAATTTGGACTGAACCTAAAAATTGGGTTTTTTGTTTTTTAAATTTTTAAAAAAAATTTTGGGGTGGATTTGTTATCATCCCTAACTTTCATATCCTCGAACGGTTTTATTTTGTAGAATTTCAACAATTTTTGTTGGGTTGGATTTGTTATCAAAGTGAAAATGCAACGTCTGTCTGTACCTATTGCCCCATTACTTTATTGATGTGGATTTGTTATCGATGTGGAAGTGCCACGTCAAGTTGGGACCGGATCACGGGGGTATATTTTTGAAAATAAATTGAAATTTGCTAATTTTTTTTACACAAAACAAAATTCGGGATAGATTTGGGACTGAACTTAAAGTTTGGGGTTTTTTTTAAGACAAAAAAAAGTTCATGGCAGATTTGGGACTAGACCTAAAGTTTGGGGCTTTTTCTGAGATAAAAAAAAGTTGGGGGCAGATTTGGGACTTGACCTAAAGTTGGGGGTTTTATAGGGAATTCACCCCTCATTTCCAAGTAGAACAAAACCTTCAGGTTGTTCCATATACACCTCATCTTCTAGTTTACCATTTAGAAAATCTGTCTTAACATCCATTTGATACACATGCAATTTATAAATTGATACCAAAGCTAATAGAACTCTAGTGGATGTTATTCAAGCAACCGGTGCATATGTATCAAAGTAGTCAATTCCCTTTTTCTGCTTATAACCCTTTGCTACTAACTTTGCTTTAAAGGTTTGTAACATACCATCTGGATTATATTTTCTTCTAATTAGATTTGATCCAGGAGGCAATTCAACTATTGTCTATATGTTGTTAGCAATAATCGAATCCATTTCATCATTGATTGCTTCTTTCCAAAATGATGCATCTCTAGATGCCATTTCCTCATTGAACGTCCTTGGATCTTCACCCATATAAAATAACATGGGTAATTTATTCACAACATTTTCCCTATCTCCTTCTACCAGGAGAGTTACAAAATCGAAATTGAAATCTTTCGTTTTCTTCACTCTTTGACTTCTCCTTGGCTCGCTTGGAGAATCAAATAGTTTTCTTTAATCGATGTAGGATTGCTTGCGTCAATTGTTGTTTGTGAATATGCTGAGGTATCACTTAAATCTTTAAGAAACTTGTGTTCAAGAAATTCAACATCTCTTGATTCCACAATAATATTAGAAGCGATAAGCTTTAGAATTTTCAGCATATCCAATAAATACACTTTTTAACGCCCTTGGTCCTAATTTGGTTCACTTAGGATAAGGAATTCTATAGTACACGAGGCATCCCCATACTTTAAAGTATTGGATATTCAGTACCATTCCTTTCCATAATTCATATGGAGATATCTTAAATTTCTTCGAAGGAATTTTGTTGTGAATGAGACATGCAATAAGAAGTGCTTCTCCCTACAAATTTATTGGCAATTTTGCTTGTAACATCATGGAATTAACCATATCCACCAAAATTCGATTATTTCTTTCTGCCAATCCATTTTGTTGTGGTTTATAAGGTGCACTTACTTGATGCACAATACCATTTTCCTCACAAAATGCAGAAAAATCTTATGAGAAGTATTCTCTTCCGCGATCACTTCTCAAAACTTCGATTTTTGAGTCCTTTTGATTTTCAACTTCAACCTTGTATATCTTGAATATATCAAAAGCTTGATCTTTGATTTCATTACGTAAACATGAGTATATCTAAAGTAATCATCAATAAATGTAATAAAATAACGATTTCCACCTCCAGTTACTACACCATTTAATTTACAAATATCAGAATGCATCAGTTCAAGTACTTTAGTAGATCTTTCCACCTTTGAAAATGATTTCTTAGTCATCTTTGCTTGTAAACATATTTCACAATTCTTCTTATCTAGATTATGACAAGATATCACACCACATTTATTCATAAATTTCAAAGTACTATACCCAACATGTGATAATCTATCATGCCACAAGGAAGATGACTCAAGCATAAAAATAGAAACAAAATTCTCATTAATACTTAATTTGAACATTCCGTTACAAGAGGACCCTTTCCTAACAAACATCCCATACTTAGACTAGATAAGCTTATCAGCCTCTAACATAGCTTTAATTCCATTCTTGCACGACAAATTTGCTAATACAAGATTCTTACGAATATCAAGAACATACAACACATTGATCAAAGTCAATTTCTTTTCGGAAGTGAATTGCAATTCAACTGTGTCTGTCCCTTCAACAATTGCAGTATGGTGATTTCCCATCAACATTTGTTCCTTCCCCATAAGTGTATAAGATTTGAATTGCTTCTTATCATTGCAAACATGCACAGTTGCACCAGAATCAAACCACCAATCCTTTGAATCATTCATAGTTGTCATGTTTAATTCAGTCACCATCTCAATTTGCAATTCAGAGACCATAACAACAAATTCATTGGTGTTTTACTCCATAATATTTGCTGTTGTGTCAACCTTTTGCTTCTTCCGATAGCAGCACTCTTTCTTGTAGTGGCCTTTTTTACCACAGTAACGCAAGACTTGTCCTTCTTGAATGTGTTATTGTTGCCAGACTTATTGGTGTTGTTGGTGTCAATGAACTTCCTCCTGTTTCCCCTCTTATTTTCTTTGTCTCTACTCATGTTGCCATTCTCAACAAAATGCACTTTGTTTGCAACTTCTTTCAAGTAATTAGCTTCACGTTCTCGAGAACCTTCCTCAATTCGAATGTGTTTTATCAAATTATCTACAGATAGGTTCTCGGTTGTATGAAGTAGTTTCTTTCGGTAATCATTCCAAGTTGAAGGTAATTTTGAAATAATTGTAGCAACTTGAAGAGGTTCAGAAACTTCAATTATAAGGTTTTTGAGTTTGGCAACATATATTTGAAGTTCCTCCACTTGTTTAGAGACAGAATTTGCGTAATCATGGTAAATTCAAAATATTTCAGAGCAATAAATCTATCGGTACCTTGTTTGTCGATATTGTATTTGGTCTCCAAGGCATTCCAAATGTCTCTGGGATATGTGTAAGATCGAAAGGTTTCATACAGACGATCTGACAAAGCATTGAGAATCCTTCCTCAACACCTCCTTTCATCATCCTCATGCCTTTTCCTTGCAGCTTTGATTTCATCAGAATCATCATCCTTTGGATTAGGGATAGCAGGCAAGTTGAGATCTAAGACAAAGAAGATACATAATTCAGATAAAAGAAGGGTCATATTGTCCTTCCAACAGATGAAATTAGTTCCATCATAAGGATCAATTCGCAATCTTATTGCAAGCACTTGATGCAGTCGATGTCTCCATCTCTATGACAATAATACCTAAAGATTGTTTGGGAAATTTGATTGTTGATGAAGATAGAAAAATAGTACTAGATCATTGATGCTTTGATATGTGATGACAATCACTGTCCTTAAGGTATTATTTACCCTCACTATTCTTGTTGCCGGATTTAGAACAAATATATCTCCAGAACACCAAAGCCGTAGAGAATGAGTTTAACAGTTTCTCAATTTCTCTCTTGAAATTTCACTTTGAATACGTTGTTAAAGTTGTGTGTACAAAAAGAGAAGAAAAGAGAAGTTGTAGTTATGAACAATTGTGATTATAATAAATAATATACGATTTGGTCTCTATTCACAGACAACTAATCAATACACATCTTTGGAATAGGTACCTTATCCCCAACCATTACCACTTTTCATGTTAAGAATAACTTCCTTTCATAACAATCGATAACCACTTTTTTTAGACCAATAGTCACCTCTTTTCATAATCAAAAGTCACATATTCTCTTAACCAAGAATTACATCTTTTATGATAACAAATTATTTCAACACAACCAGAATTCATAATCCATCCATCAAACGACGAATCACCAGTGACAAATAAGACATAATCAGTACAATCCGAAATACTATCAATTATTGCTGCAACATCATCTGCAGACTCAACTCTAATTCCCTTACCCTTGTCATTTTTCAGCTTAAAGCAATCTATTCTAAGATGCCTCTTCTTGCCACAAGTCCAACGAATAGCGCCATAAGTCCAACGGATAGCAGCACCAGTCCTAGATTAACTTCGTCTATTCAAGTTTATACTACTCTTGCTAACACATATACTAGTTCTTCCTCTATTTTCACCTACAAAAACAGCAGATACATATTCACTAGATTCTCTTCTATGGATATCCTCACTCAGAATTAAATCTTGAACCCCATCAAACGTCAAACTTGCTGACCTGGAGGAATTACTAACAGCAATAACAGTAGTACTCCAACTATCAAGTAATGAGGATAATAGAATCAAAGCACGTCCTTCATCTTCAAAGTCAATCTCAATTGAATGTAATTGACTAACGATCACATTGAATTCATTAATATGATCAGTAATTGACGCACCTTCGCCCATCTTTAAGTTAAACATATGTCGCATTAAATAAAATATGTTGATTGCAGAAGGCTTCTTGTACATGTCCGACATGGCTTTTATTAAACCCGCAGTGGTCGTCTCTTTCACAATGTTAAACGTGACATTACGAGCCAACGTCAGCTGAATAACACCCAAAACTCATCTATCCAGTAATTCCTTGTCACGCCCCGCACTCCTCGGTGCGCCACATCCCTCGCAAAGGTCGATTCGTGTGCAACGTCCCAGGACGCGTCGCCGACCCAACACCCAACACAGAGATTTAAAGCACATGCGGAAGTAATTAAAACCACCCGTACATTAAAATACACCTAACCAAGGATAGCCACAGAAACCAACAACAACGATTGCACTAATACTGGAAATCATATACAATATTCATATACAACCCGATCATCAAAAATCAAAAGCGGGTCAAGGCCACTACTGACAAAAAGGGGGTAAGTGGCTCGGGGGTCAGTCTACTACTAATGGTGGGGCGCTGGTCAAAAAGGTACTAGCCCTACCCCATCTAAGGCGGACACTAAGCCCTACGGTGCCCAGTTTGGGTCGGAATCAGAAGACTCCGAGGATGAAGAGCTGTCAGGCATCTCCTCCTCGGACCCTGATGAGTTCGACTCTGACTCGACCTCAGCAGCCTCCTCCTCTGAGACCATATCTTCCGGCTCGGCCTCCAGAACAGGATCCTCCTCGATCGGCTCCGGCTCTCCGTCATCCACGTCCATATCCACCGACTCGAACTCATCCATCTCGTACTCTACTGGAACTCCGTCGGAACTTATACCTTCCTCAGATGAGGAACCAGGGTCCGTCACCTCACCATCGGGGCATCGGGGATATCTCGTGCCCATCCCGGTGAACGGGACATCAAAAGTCCGGAGAGGACCATACTCTCCGAAGCCGTCCCTGAAGCACCATGCCACGTACTCGTGGGTCTGGTAATGCGTCGCCCCCACCTCCACCCAAACAATAGAATGATACCTAACATACGATTCCCCGTTCCCTACGGGGTGTATCGTCCTCGTCCGCTCTACTAGGAGCGGAATCCCAAAACGAACCGGAATCTCGGACATCTAAATGCTGGGGGTCTGAAAAATTGGGTTTCAACAACAGTGAGAATAAATCTCAGCGAGTAATTCCCTAAACCTAAATTAGGCTAAAGTGCACCTCCTGACGAGTACTAAATAACACACAAATCAAATCATAAACCGACTCAGGCCCGCAGGCCTAAATCTAATTCGTACTCGACCCTGCAGGTTAGGCATTCTATAAATATAATCACAACAGTATCATAGAATTCGATTGCGGCACATCTACACATATCACTCTGTCTCGGCTCATGTAATGCATATGCTCGTGCTCGCACTCATGTTCATGTCTCAATAATGCATTAACGCACACTTGCATGCTAGCACTCTGCCATTTATCAATTTCTCCTCCGACCCGCGTTAAACGCATCAGGTCCGACCCGCGTAAAACGCATCAGGTCTATCACTTCGAGATCGATCTCTGGCCCGCGTAAGACGCATCAGGCTCATGACGCATTACCCGCGTAAAACGCCTCAGGTTGGTCATCTTCCGGTAAACCGGGCATCGTCCCGCGTAACACGCCTCAGGACGGGTTCACTACCCCGCGTAAAACGCATCAGGGTTTATTGTGATCACACATTCACAAGCACCAATTTTCATCTGAACCCCGCGTTAAACGCATCAGGGCATTTTAGGTGATCACAATGCACATGTCACTCGAGCACGCTTGTAAATGCACATGCCGTGCCAATGCTCGTGATGCAAACTCATGGCCATAACCTTCACACTCGGGCATTCACGATTTCACAATGGACATTCAATAGCACAACGCCAATTAATTAGTTCACAGTGCACCATGTCCAATCAACATTTCAATATGCCCAACCCACATATTAGCACGACCATGAAATTCAATTCAAGCACTCATGCACGGTACACAATTCACGCGTATAAATCACACAATCAGTTCAGCATGAATCCACAGAAATTGAGGCCCATCACATTACTCCCTTCCTTATAGCATTAGGCACATGTCATGGCACTACAAAATCACTCGCATTTAGGGACAATTCAACCACTAGTTCGGTCAATCCATCATTTCCGGCACTTACACTCCAAACCTCAATTCAATCGCGCCTTGTCCGACTAATTTCCAAAGTGGACAGCCACCAAATCAATTGCGCCGGGCCATTTAATGACCTCAAAATGTTCCACTAGACTCCCCAAGACACCATTTTAATCAGCCACCATAATGCCAAATAAGGTGCACACTAGAATCCACATTTTAAACCCGAAACTTCCCAAACTTGGGCTAATCCGATCCAAATCTGTCCAGCCAATACTCGGCGCTTCTCAGGCTACTAAACCTCCATTTATTTATCGCACTAAGCCCGTAGAACAGCCACCAAAACAGCCACCACCCGGTCTATCAATTTCATCCACTAAGTTCGCCATTTTGTCTAAATCTTGGCACCCATGCTTCGCCATATCACAGCACTATACGGGCCGCTAAACCTCGACTAAATAATGATCCTTGGTCACCAAAAACACCACAGAACCAGCCCATATCACCCTCCACCATTTAGCCCCTAATTACCCTAATTAAACCCTAAAACCCGTCTAGAAATGCAAATTGTCCTAATTAGGGCTTAGGGTCAAACTCACCGGATGTCCTAAGCTTGAAACGGGCCGAACACGCGACGTAAAGGGGCTGGGCAGCGGCAGTCCCTCGCCGGAACAGTAACGGCGGTGGCGGCTCCGGCGAACGGCACGAGCGGCGGCGACGGTCTAAGCTAATCCACGACCTAGAGAGGGAGAGAGAGGCACGGTCAGAGAGAGAGAGAGAGAAATGGAACGGCTGGTTGGCTAGGCGAGGCGACGGATCCGTGCTGGAACAGTGACGGCGGCGGCGGAGCTCCTCCGGCTCAAGGCCTCTCACGGCCAAACCGAGAGAGAGAGACAGAGAGAGAGAGAGAGAGAGAGAGAGAGAGAGAGGAGAGGGGGCTTGCCGGCTGTGTGGGGTGGAACACGGTGGCGACTGGCGGAACCGGAGGCGCGACGGCGACGCAGGGCCGGCCGGCAAGCTGGCGGACAGCGGCGGCCGGCGTGAAGAAGAAGCGGCGTAGCCGCGGCTCGGCTAGCTGGCGCGTGCGTAAGGGAGGAGAAAGCGGCTTGTCAGTGCTGGCCCGGACAGCGGACGCAGCGGCGGCGAGTCGAGCTGGCCGGCGACGGCGCGGCACGCGGCGATCCCGGCGAGCCCGAGCGATCGGCGAGCCCAGGCAAAGGTGAAGCGAGACCCGAGTCGGCCGGGAGAAGGAGAGAGAGTGGGGGCTTCTGTGGTGGCAGCGACAGGGTGGCGGCAACGGTCGGGCGACGCGCGGTGGCGACGAGCGGGACGGCGTCGGGCGGAGTGGAGTCCAGACGCGGCTCGTCAGGGAGGAAGAAGACCGAAGCAGAAAAAAGAAAGGAAGAAGAAAGAGAAGAAGAAGGAAGAAGAAGAGAGAGAGGAGAGAGGGTGTAAGAGGAGGGGGGAGAATGGGGCGTGAGTGGACTTCTGCATGGGGGGGTTGCGTGCGGTCAGAGAGGAGAGAAGAGAGAGAGGGAGAGAAGGAGGAAAGGACAGACGTGATGATGGGGGAGAGAGGGGTGCGTGCGGGCAGATGAGAGAGAGAAGAGAGAAAGAAAGAAAAAAGAAAAAGAGAGAGAGAGAGTAGGACGGACGCGCAGCCAAGGGGGGTGTCTTCGGCGCGAGAGAGAACAAAAGAAAAAAAATAATTTTCATTCAAATATTAATCGCGATCCGAAGGCCCAATCTCAAAATCGAAAACGATCTAACGGTCCATGATAATCCTAATTAATAATATAGGAAAAAGGGCCAAAAGAAAATAACTCAAAACACACTACGAGGGAGGTCTACTAGTCCAAATCCGCACCCGGTCAAAAATCCACTTTTCACATGTTCCTGGCAATAGCGACGCTGGCCACAATAATATCGACACCGTCCAATTTATTTCGTCCTGAAACTCCCGAAAATCGGTTGCCAAGTTCGGGGTCTAAATAACGGCCAACTTCGATCGAGTGCGATTCTAGCAAAATCTCTATTTTTAAAACAAGAACCCGAGAGTGATCAGTTCCCGGGCGAGATTCTATTATAAGCGCACTGACGAATTACACGTTTTATAAATCCCAAAAATGGGCCAAAATTCGGAATGTCACAACTCTTCCCCCCTTACAAAAATTTCGTCCTCGAAATTTACAATCCAACCCAACTATTCAAACAGATGGGGGTATTGATGTCGTATCAACTCTTCACTTTCCCATGTCGCACCTTCGATTCTATGATGCTTCCAAATCACCTTGACCATCGGAATTGCCTTATTCCGCAACACTCTTTCCATTTTGTCCTCGATCCGTACTGGCTTTTTCACATACGACACTCTGTTGTCCACGTCTATTTCCTCGTAATTCAGCACGTGGGTTGAGTCCGGTTCATACTTCCTTAGCATAGACACGTGGAACACATTGAGCACTTGAGACAAATTAGGCAATAGCGCGAGACGACAAGCCAAGGTGCCAATTCTTTCTAAGACCTCGAATGGACCCACGTACCTCGGGCTCAACTCCCCTTTCTTACCAAATCGAGATAATCCTCTCATAGGCGATACTTTGAGGAAAACGTGGTCTCCCACTTGAAATTCCAAAGGCCTACGTCTCCGGTCTGTATAATTCTTTTGACGGCTCTGAGCGGTCTTAAGCCCATCCCGAATCACCTTGACTGTTTCGACTGATTGGTGAACCAACTTGGGACCCGTGATGCTCTTCTCGCCAACTTCATCCCAGCAAACCGGTGTTCTGCAAGCCCTGCCATAAGGTGCTTCGAACGGTGTCATTCTGATACCCCGTTGATAGCTATTATTGGAGGCGAATTCAACCAAATATAGCTGTTCCTGCCAACCACCCTTAAAATCCAAAACACACGCTCGCAGCATGTCCTCCAAAGTCTGAATCGTCCTTTCAGACTGGCCATCCATCTGGTGATGATAGGCCGTGATAAACTGTAAATTCGCTCCTAATGCCGAATGAAGACTTTTCCAAAAGGCGGTAGTAAATTTAGAGTCACGGTCCGAAGTGATTGTCACTGGCACTCCGTGCAGACGGACTATTTGTCGCACATACAAATCAGCACACCTTTCCAAGGTAAAATCCTTTCACACTGGTAGAAAATGTGCTGACTTTGTCAACCGATCCACTATCACCCAAATCAAATCATGGCCCCCTCTGGCTCCTCGGTAATCCCATGACGAAGTCCATCGTGACGTGTTCCCATTTCCACTCGGGAATTTCCAATGGCTGCAACATTCCACCCGGCTTGCAATGTTGCACCTTCACTTGTTGGCATGTGAAACACTTAGCCACATGCTTGGCCACGTCCACTTTCATGCCATTCCACCAATAATGCTGTCGAAGGTTCTAGTATATTTTTGTGCTGCCTAGGTGAATACTATAACTGCTCTTATGAGCTTCCAATAGAATCTCTTCCTTAAGTCCCAAATCATCGGGCACGCATAAACGTCCTCGAAACTTAAGAATTCCGTCCTCGGACACTTGGAAGTCCGGTTTCCTCTTAGTGCCATCCATCTCCAAAATCTTCTGAATCTCAGGGTCCATAGACTGCAACGCCTTAATCTTGGCTTGCACTTTCGGTTCAATCCTTAACATCACCATCAGACTGGAGAGGTGTGCTACTTCGAACTTAAATTCTGACTCTCGCGCTCCCTCCAATAAAATCCACTCTTTGACCATTAGATGCGCGATGCTCGATTTCCTGCTCAAGGCATCCGCTACCCGATTGGTCTTTCCGGGATGATATAATATATCACAATCATAGTCCTTTAGCAACTCCATCCAACGCCTTTGGCTCATATTCAATTCCTGAAAACTCTCTTTGCGCTTTTCCGTCCATTGGAACTTCGTTTCCTTCTTAAGCAACCTCGTCAGCGGAGTGGCTATCGCTGAGAATCTTTCCATAAATCGCCGATAATACCCTGCCAGTCCTAAGAAACTCCGAACCTCAGTAACTATCGTCAGTCTCGGCCAATCCATTACTGCCTCAATCTTTGCCGGATCCACGGAGATTCCTTCTCCGGAAATTATATGCCCGAGAAATGCAACTTGATTCAGCCAAAATTCGCACTTGCTAAACTTAGCATACAGTGCGTGCTCTCTTAACGTCCATAGAACTCTTTCTAAATGTACCTCATGTTCCTCGGAACTCTTTGAATACACTAGAATATCATCAATAAAGATAATGATAAACTGGTCTAAGAACTCCTTGAATACCCGGTTCATTAAATCCATGAAAGCCGCAGGGGCCTTAGTTAGTCCAAACGGCATAACCGTGAACTCATAATGTCCATACCTCGTCCTGAATGCCGTCTTTGGGATATCCTCCTTTTGGATCCTTAACTGATGATACCCTGTCCTCAGATCAACTTAGAAAATACCGAGGCTCCTTGCAGCTGATCGAACAGGTCGTCAATCCTTGGGAGGGGATACTTATTCTTGACTGTCACTTGATTCAGCTGACGGTAATCGATATACAGCCTCAACGACCCATCCTTCTTCCTGACTAACAATACCGGCTCTCCCCATGGAGACGCACTCAGTCGGATAAAACCTTTGTCTAGCAGTTCCTGTATCTGAATCTTTAGTTCTTTCAACTCTGACAACGACATCCTATAGGGCGGCCTCGAGATTGGCTCAGTCCCTAGGGCTAATTCAACCAGAAACTCCACTTCCTTTCAGATGGCAATCCCGGCAATTCCTGAGGAAAGACATCGGGAAGATTACACACCTCGTTTATGCCCTTTAGCCTTGGTTCCTCAACCAACTAGTTAGCCACCAAATCATTATCTTTCTATACCTTAAAGACCAAGCTCAATCCATCCAATTTCAATCCAACAGTCTCCCAAAAATGAATCACATCGGTTCTTTACAAAATCTGAAATTTCGAAGCAACACTCATCCTTCCAAACCCGTCCAAGAATATCATCAGTAATCCATAAATCCTTAAACCGATTGCGCCTATTCACCATAAAATTAATTATAAGTCTTTCATGACCACTCAAGCGATAACTTCAAATTCATCTCCTATTGCACCCAATATCACCTCGTAATGCATACAGACTTTTAAGGCACATCCTTCGCTTCCTTCTCAGCCAATACATACACTTTTCCTTACGTGCTTAGCCGATTCTGATTAATCTTTAGGGCAGCTCTCGCTTAATGTCCTACCTACGATCGCTGTGATTACATTAATGGTCTAATCTATCGGTTCAGCAATTTCTCACTCGGTGAACTTGCTGTCCACATCCACAACATGCTCCACTTCTACCTTGGCAATGGCTATTCTATGCCTTTTTTTTTTCCACAAGACCGACATGCGGCGTTTGGAGTAGTAGTTCGGCTTTCCAAAGTTCTTCCTTACCGGGGGGACAAGTCTCATATTCTCTATCATAGGCTTCTTCCCAAGACCCTATTGTCCCTAACCGGCGCGTACCGCGATCTAGAAGCGGCAGCCCTTTCACTCATGCATTTCAATCATCAAGCTCTCTCATACAACTCGTTGTGATCCTTTAAGACTCAAGAGTACTAACTGACTACGGAGTTCCGGTTTCAAT